GCATTTTCTTTCAACACTCGTAGTATTTGTGTTTGTGCGTCAATGACTAGATGTTTGCAAAATTTATAAACGTATTATTTGTGAACATAGAGTATAATTTTTTAAATATTTAAAATTATTTTATGCTCTTAATTAATGAGTTCCACGTAGGGTAAGTTTGTAATCGAATTTGTGAGAATTTAGTTTGTGATTGCATTTCTCATTCAGTTTTGTGTCCTTGGTGTACACAAGCTTTCCTGTTTTATACTCCCTCAATTTTAAAAAGAATGCCACGGTTCATTCATTAAACAAAAATCAAGGGACCTTTTGTTTATTTGTACTTTTTCATCTATTATTTTATAAAATAAAATATTTTTATCACTTTTTTGTTTTGAAAATTTTTAATGTTGTTTTTAAATATATAAATTTTATTAAATATTTTATACTAATTTTGAAATAAAATAAATTTAAAAATTTAAAATTTTTTCGTTTTGCATAATGTAAGTTATGTACGGTGCAACAAATATTTTGGAATGGAAGACTATGGCGACGCACTGTTTTTAATAAAACGGCATTTACTCCGTAATTAATGTTTTTATAGGTTTTAGTAGCTATTGTGGTAGTTGGTTGTTGGAGAAACGTTGGTATAGTAAACGAATCAGCGTTTGGAATACACATATTTCCTCCCTTCCTCTTAATGACAAATTGTACGGTGAACCTTAGTTGTATTGTGCTGAGGTGAAGACTTTATATGATAAGGTGTATAAAAAAGAGGCTAAATTAGAGAAGATCGAGTAAATTAAAAGGATTGAGAATACAAAGATCGACAATGAACCATTAAGATTGAGACAAAAAAATTGGGACTGAACTAGTCTTTGAGACTAGTCCGTTCCGGAACTGTTAATTACTCTTAAATGTTTCTTAGTTTGTAAGGGGGATTAGGATTAATCCGAGACTTGTGAAGGACCTGTAGATGACTTGGATCGATCCAAGATTTGTAAAAGGCCAGTCCAAAGACTAGAACAAATCCAAAAAATTAATCATCCATAAATTATTTTATTAAAATTAAAAAAATACTAACTATTACTCCCTCAGTCCGGAAATGTTCTTCACATTTGACATTTCTTAGTCAAAGTTTATTAATTTTGACTATGATTTATGGAAAAAACACATTGTATTATGATGTAAATTTAATATGAATATATTCATTTCGAAATATAGTTTTCAAATATCAAATTTTTATAAAATATATCCATGTATAAATAAAGATATTAGTGGTCAAAGTGCAATATTGGAGACCGTAAAAAGTCAAATGGGAAGAACATTTCCGGACGGAGGGAGTACTATATTATTAATAAGTACTCTAGGCCATAATTATAAGTTTGAGTAAATTGCATAATTGTTTTTTTATAACACGAGGTTTTCTATATCTACTCCTCTATTATCAAATATTATCCATGTGATCCTTCTTTTATGGGTACTTTTCTGGCCATAAGTTGTCTTTTTTTATCCTCTGTCCTGTTGATGTTAATTTGATGGTTTAAAGTGTAATTTGATATCAATCATATGTCCAATGACGTATTCTAATGTCGGTTACATGCACGGTCAACATAACAACAATGACTATGACTGTGGACTTGGATTCCAATGAAAGACCACATCTGTAGACTATGATTGTAGTGGAGAGCGAGTACAATTTACAAACAATGCCTCAAGAGCTGCTTCTAGAATTGTGTATGACAAGAACATATATGATCATGTAAATTCACACTTTTAATCCTCAAATATTAATACAAACAAGAAAGAAGACCAAAAAATTAAAGGGACTAATTGTAAAAACATACTCACTAAAGAAGAACCACAAGAATAACATTTGATGATAGAGAACTAAATATGAAAAATCCACTGTTATAAGGAACTAATTATATAATTTACTTTATTAGTTTATATTAATATACTGCTCGTGTACATGCAAACGGAGTAATAGACGACAATACCGCAATTAGAGATTTGGGACTTAGGAATACTTACTAAGGACACAAATACAACTCCAAACATTCATATTTGATACTTTGATAATTAGTATATATTAGCTGAGTAGTATTAAAAAATTAAAAATAACTCTTTGAAAGTGAAAAGGTAGGTTACTTGCTTACTCTTAAAAGCTCAAAAGTATTTAACTACTCAAGTACTCGGCATTTCATAAAATCTTAATTTAGGCTCTGTTCCATAGCCCTGATATGATTGAATCTGATCTGAATTTTTGAAATTCTGATCTGATTAGATCTGACCTATTCTGATTGAATCTAATATGATCTTTTTAGATTTGATCTGATCTGATTGAATCAGATCTGATCTTATTAGATCTGGTGTAATTAAATTTGATTAAAATTAAAATTATTAGAATAAATTTAAAAATTTGAAAGAATTACAATTCATATCATTAATATATTATATTTAAACATTTTCTTTGAAATATTAAATATATTTTCAATATCACAACTTTTTTTATATAGTGAAGATAGTATATTATTGGTCGATACTATAACTTTTTTAAGTTTAAAATTGAGTCTTTTTAAGTATAAAAGTATTTATGGTTTTAAAAATTATGTTTTGTATAATTTTTTATAAACAAATATTTTTCTATAAACAAGTATTTTAAAACAGCTCCTTTAAAATGTGAAATATATAACTTTTTAAGTCCTAACATTGCTTCCATGTAGCATTCTTACAAGCTAAGCACTTATTAGTAATAATGATTTGTTGTTGATATAATAATAATAATACTTTATCTATCGTATAATTATATGGAGTAATAATAATAATAACAATAATTATAATAATCATAATAATATTTAAAGTTATAACATTACTTAATATTTACATGTGTGTAGCTTTAAATAAACTAATGTGATTTAATCGAATATTAATTATTATTTAATCCTTCAAAAATATTAATATTATTTTTTGTTCTTATCTGATCTGATAGAATTTTATCTTGTCTGATATGATTGGATCTCATCTGATCTGCTAAGATCTCATTTTAATAATAATAAATAATAAGCAGAGAAATAAGTCCCTCGAAATGGACCCTTTGACATGTTGTCAATACTGCCATGAATTTTGAGCTTGAATTAAACAAAATTTGTACTGTATATCAGTACAAATATTATTTTATTAGATTAATCTTGTTACAAACTATCAAATTTTTATTTCATTGTACTAATATGTGATACAAATTAGGAGTAATATATACGATACAGATTGGAATAATTAAAAAGTCAAACTGGACAAATACATTGGAACAGAGTTAGTAATTGTTTCTGCTAATATACCAACAATTTTTGTATTTAGATTGACATCTCTTGTACTAATAACTAATTATTGTATTGCGTACGTCTTATAAAATCTTTCTAGTTTTAACTTTTAAAGAATTTAAGGAAAGTATATTTTGGTGTGGTTTTTTCAAAAATACTCTTAGATGTGATGGATAAAAGTAGGATACGATGAGTATATTAATAGTAAATATAAGTGATGTGATATGTATGTTAAAACTTGGTATGGGTAAAAGTGAATTTTCAATAGAAATGAAAAAATATATTTTGAAATAGACGAAAAAAAGAAATGAAAGGGATTTTGTGGGACGAAACAAGTGTAATTATTGTTTCTGGAGAGTGAACTCATGACCTCACATTCAGAAGAGTCACCTTACCATTGAACCATACAGTTTTTGGGACTAACTCTTTCATTTGCAAGACTACATATAACATTGCAATATGAGAGATCTCCCTAAATAAGAATAAAAAGAAGTTCAACACCCAAAATAGGAGACCTATTTAGTTATTTACTTGTGTAGGAATGGGCCAAGCAAAATGAGTTGATTTTTGCCCTTTTTGCCCTCGTCACCCATTGTCTCCACCTACAAATCCACTACGTCCCCCGTCACACTACCACCCTCCACAACACGCCCACATTGTCACATCCACCAATGCACTGCAACCTCTGTCGCCACACTACGATAATCACCACCATCATTGTCCGCACACTGCCATCCTCTACCACCACACTGCCACCCCACCGCCACACTGCCATCATCACCACGAACTCTGTAATCACATTGCCTCCCTCTGCCACCACACTACCATCAACACCACCATCGTTGTCACATTACAACCTCCGCCGCCACATTGTCACCCTCCGCTGCCACACTGCGATCACCACCACACAATAATATTGACATCACTACGCCACACTGCCACCCTTTGCCACCACGCTATGATATCACCAGCACCGCCGTCCGCCACCACATTGCACCACTGCCACACTGTCTCCTTCCACCGCCACGCTCTCCCCTGCTACCACACCGCCACCTTCTGCCGCCACTGTCATTGTCACAATGCATATCCCGCCATTGCACTGCGTCTCTCCGCCGTCACACTACACCACCGCAACATTCCACCCCCTGCCGCCCCCTACCTCCTTCTGCCGCTAAAGTACCATCATCGGCAGAGTATTACTACCACGAAATTGCACCTTTTATAGATAATGTTTTGTAATGTTTGAATTCCACACATTTTATTCTATTTTAATTTCCAAAACAACTAGTTTGCTTGTATTTATGGTCATATTTTTCTTTTTCTAATCGATAGTGCAATGTGTTATTTGTGTGCGTGGCATTGTGTCAATAGGGGTAGTTATGAGCAATGGAATTCAACCAATACTGACATTGCAATTATAAATTGCGAACGCCATCCATACACAAGAACAAGAAAGCCAAAGTGCACACCGGCCAGATGACTAGAAATTTTGGAAGTAGAAAGCGTGGAACGATAATATAATAAATACGGAAACGAAATTAGGTCAAATGGAAAATAAAGAAGGGTAAATCCGGAATAAAAATAAATGTAGGAGGGGTCCACTCCTATGGAAGTAAATATAAGACTACTATTTTGGTCTATTGTAATCTTTTAATTCCTACTAAGGGAAATTTCATTTGCAACAAACTGATGAACATATTGAAGGTGATTGGGCTGGTGGCAATACAACCCTTCTTCGGAGGCGAAGAGCGGACAACAGCGGAGAACACACTCATCAAATGTGATCACATCATATCAGTGGTCCGTACCGACTGGATGTGGAAGGCGTTTTTGCCCCCGGAGGAAGGCAATGACAGGGACCACGAGGCGGTGAACGTTAGCGGCCCCAGGGCGGCTGACATATCAAAGCTGGAGGATTTTCCGGCAACAATGGTGGTGGCGGCAGGCTTCGATCCTCTCAAGGATTGGCAGAGGAGGTACTTTGAGTGGTTGAAGAGGTCAGGGAAACAAGTCCACTTTGTGGAGTACCCAAACATGGTGCATGCTTTCTACCTTTTCCCTGAGCTCCCCGAATCTACACAGCTCATCGGGGAAATCAAGGACTTCATTCACAACCAGTGTTCCAATTAATATAATATCAATAGACACATAAGTTTGTAGGAGTGAAGCACATACATATGTGTCTGTATTTGTCTTGTTGTGTAACTCTAGCATCATTCATATAATGTTGTGTGAATTTCTTATTGTTTTCTTTATTCAATTGGATGATCTCTATGGATATTACTTTTTTGCCTCAAGAGTGTTACACTACTCCCACTCTTGTCAATCTCAATAACCTGATTAAAGGAAATAAAATAAAAAAAAGGAGCTAAATTTGTGTTTTTTTTGAGAATGCATCGTTGGCCTTACGTTTTATGGAAATTAGTGTTTGATGAGCAATCATAATAATTAGATTATAGACATAGAGAAAAGACCTGCCAAAGGGTAACTAAACTCAAAATACAACCTAATCTATATTTCAAAAAAAAGTTGCATCTACTATTAAAAGTCATTGTTCTCCCTTTACAATTCAATGTCCAACTAAATGTGTGTAAGAAGAAAATATTGCAGGTTTAACTCTTAAAAAAACTGGTTCAGTGTGGTAGGTTCAGTTTCGTTTCCACATTCCACCTTCATTTCAATTTCTCAATTGTTTTGTGCACTCGATATACTACGAAGAGATATTTAAAAAGCCAGACAAACACATAAGAATGTCATGTCTAAAATCTAAACCATAAGCACCTAAGTTTCCAATGGCTCAATCATCCTCTTGTAATTCATGATGATTGCAAAGCATGTTAAGAGTTAGTACATAACATTGTGAAATTCAAATTTCAAATGTAGTGCTTAAACAAGATTCAGGAAAATCAAAAACCTCCTTGGAAACTGAGAATTGTATAGATAACTAATGATGAGAATGCCCTAAAATCATCTCTGAGTGATTGACTACAAAGAATTTACAACTGCCGTGAAGAATACCGTACCAGTGGTAGCAAGTTAACGTAGTGTGGCTCCGAAGAAGAATATTTGCTAAGTGGTGCTCTTGTTATTACCATCAATGGCTTCCTTGAGCTTCTTCCCCAAGGCATAAGCCAACGGTGGTGGAACAGCATTCCCAATTTGTCTATGCTTGTGCAAAATGTTACCAGCAAACTGATATGTATCTGGGAAACCCTGCCATTACAATATTTCAAAAACCAAAGTTAAAATCACAAACCAACTCAGATTACTTCTTGCCAAACTAACTTATAGGAAGTATATTCTAATATGAATAAACTTAAACAAACATCTGTAAGATTAAAAAAAACCAAAATCACTTTTTAGATTCCAAGAGTGGAATCACAACACGTACGTACAACATGTCGCCTACATGAGTAAGGCATATTACAATTTCATAATAACAGATAACTTACTTGTGAGCGTGCACATTCACGGACAGTAACAATGCGGTCTTGCTCTGGGTGAAAGCACATTCCTACTTTACCCATTGGCTGTGGGTCAGTTATGGAAGTAGGGAAGTTCCCTTCCCAATCTAATCTACCAAACAGCCCTTTCCACTGGTTGTGCCTCTTAGCTGTATTGGGCAGGCACCACGGTATTAAATCCACTGTTTCCCCAGTTGACAATTTCACCTTCAAACCCCAGACAAAAAGAGATTCGTTAAATTTGAATCCTTAAAATCATGGTTCCATGACACCATGTTTAGTTATGATAACAATACCTTCTCATCTGGGAGGTCGCGCCAATCAGAACCAGGGCGTCTGGGGATCCTTTGACATCTAATCAGATTAAGCTCATTCATCTCTTTTGAAATGTGATCAGATAACACCATTGCATTCCCTCGGATTTTCTTTTGGAACCACGAGACTGGGTCACCTTGGTACTGTAGTTGAAAGAATGTAAAAGATAGAAATCAAACACAATAATGGCCAAGCAGCAGCCAATATGAAACCGTGTCAATTGCACTAACCTCCATGCTTGGTTTGGAGGCCCCATTGACAACAGCCGGGAGATCTCCAATTGTATCTCTAACAGTGAGAGAACGGAATGGTGCTCCATCAGCAGTACTCCGTGCAGCAGCATATTGTAAATTCTTTGACAAGTTGATTCTCAACTGTGGGACAGCAAACACATGCATGGGCTCAGGCCATTCAGGGAGAAGCACATCTGGAGATGCAGCCCAAATGAATGCTCTCTTCCTAGCCTGGGGAACTCCATATGTTCCAGCTTCCAGTATACCAAACCTCACCTGGTCAGTGATCCCATTTTCATAAACCATCAGAAATTTTATATGAAAATATCAGAACACACATGCTCAAATGGTTTACAACAATGTCTACCTGATAACCCATTGCAAGCAGTGAAGCTACAGCCAAGCGAAATGTCTGACCTTGGTTGAAAGATACAAAATTTCTAACATTCTCCAGCAGAAAGTACTTAGGTCTATAGTAATCGGCAAATGATAAGAATGCTAGAATCATCTCGCACTGTACTTTACTCCAGGAGCTCTGGTTGAATCTATTCATTCCAGAAAACCCCTGCAAAAGAGACACTTAGTTCCAAATAAAAATAATACTCCATAATTACAAAAGGGTGCAAGGCAAGGTTGGCTAAACAAACCTGACAAGGAGGTCCTCCATTGATGAAGTCCACTTCTCCTGGCAGCGGCAAACTGTTAACCTCCTTCTCGTCCATTGCTGCAGCTAGTTCTGAGGCCTCTTGGGTTGCAACGCAATCTTCATCATCACCACACTTTTTCATTATTGCTCTGCAGTGAAATAAACCAATTGGTTATTTCAGACAGCCTGGCATGAGTCTTCATGTTATTCACACAAATGAATATATACAAATGGAGACAGATCTGACCTAAGAATCACATTGCAGTTGTGCACAAATACATGCGCCTCGGGATGGTTGAGCTTAAAGGCTTCTGCAGCTGGTTCTTCATACTCAATTGCCCATTTTGTAAGTGAAGCACCTGTAGAAGGCAATAAGGGAGCATCAAGATAACTATCACGGGTGGGATACTATGAAATTGTTTGGAGTGGCAGCAAGAGAGAAATAATGTTTGCCTGCTCGCTGCAACCCTTCAGAGAGGCCACCACACCCCGCAAAGATATCTAATGTAGCTAGGCGGTTTTCTTCAGAAGTCTCATGTTGCGCAATCTTTGTATCATTTTCTACTTCTTTGGCTTTTCCCTTCCTCTTCTTAGACAAAGTTGCATCATCCAGCTTGACTTCTGAGTACCTTATTCTCACATGAGATGGCAACTGCATATTGAAGGAATACATCAGTGTTTATTGAAGAGGTACGTAAAGCCAGTTCACGTCACAACAAAACTTAACAAACTCTAAACCAATGAAACTGACTGCAAACTACAGCTGCACCATAAAAATCTTAAATTTCAGAAAGAACCAAATTAGTGTCAAAACAAGTTAAGAGAAGCTACCTGCTTAAGTGAACCTTTGGATGGATCATACATGCATTCACAAAAGAAAATATGGTCAAAGATTGGAAACAAATCAGCAGGTGGGAGATCCCGTTTCCTCCTTACTTCACATTTCCCCTCAATCATGCATACTGGAACAGTGTGTGTTTCCTCGCTATAATAAATCTGGAAACATCACCAGCAAAATATACATATTATATTTTTATAAAAGTGCAGTGTAACAATTGAACATATATTCTTTAGCTCTAAATTCTAACCAACTTTTATCTTCTTTTTTAGAAAATTTATTCAGAATACCTCTCTAATATCAGAAGAATAAGCCTTCTCTGCTGATATGTCATCTGGCCTAAAGAACCTTCTGATCTTGACTTCAGTTGAATCAATGTCAGCTTCTTCAGAGCCCTCCTTACCAGGAACTTCAATCAATTGGCATATAGTGTAAGCCCTCAAGCCTACATTTCTCCCACCCTTGAAGGTTCCACCCCCAATCCTCTCTACAGCAAATTGATGAGGACTTACATAGACAAAATCATGAATTGAATATTCAACGCCCTGGTATATAAAACTGGTCTTAGATGCATTCAATTTGAAGAAGTCCCTATTTTGATCACAACTCTTCACTTGGCAAGAATGGCATAAACCAGAGCCAAGACCCATAGTCTCACAAGGAAGTTTAAAGAAAGCACCTCTCTCTGGCCAATACAAGCTCTTGCAGTAATACTCAGTAGACAATCCTTTCCTCATCCGATCTTCAGCTTTTGCTCTATCTGCCTTATCCGCATCAGCACTAGCTTTCCTGTGCTGATGTCCCCAAGGAATCAAACGTATATCAACAACTACAGTTTCCTTGATATCTTTTAGTTCTAAATCAATGCATTCGTGGGTCAGAAAAACTTCCCTCTCATTAGCAGCGTTCCCCAGTACAGTTTGGGACCCTCTTTGCATTATTCGTCCGTGAAACATTTTTCTTCCTTTTGACTTCTCAAACATGTATTCCACAAAGCATATGGTTGGAAGCATATCCGCTCCATCATCCTCCACCAGAAATGAACCCCCAATTGCAATCTCATTTCCATGGACTTTGGCTGTTCGATACAAATGTTCACCAGAAGCAGTTTTGCCTATTGATTCGCCATCCCATTCTACTTCTTTGCTATTAGAGCAAGATTTAGTTTGCCTGGTAGTAGTGCAAAGTTTTTCAGTTTTCACAGGAACTTCTATATTGTCCTCCTCCGGAGCATCGTCATCTTCATTTTCCTCTTGCTCTTCAAATTCTTCATCATCCTTAACATCACTGACAATCACCTCCTTTGACTCCTCCGCAGAGTAGTTTGAATAAAACTCCCCCCATATTCTGTTAATCAGCCTAGTTGTAGTTGCTTGCATGGCCTTCCTCTTAGATACAACAGGTGCCAGTCCTGCTCTAGGATTTAAATTTAGTTCATTCCGCTGCACCAGCTTCTTTTTCTTAACAAGCCACTTTGTGTGGTGTCTCTCTTCCATTTTCCTAGTTAGACTGATGACAAAGGCACACTTCTGGATGTTTTCATCTGGAAATTCTGCAAACTGCTGTAAAACAATCTGTCCGTGTACCACTAGGTATCTTTCCACAAAAGCTGGATTTGTAGATAGATAAGCAGGGTTGCTTTTTTCAAACTCTGAAACCTTTTTAACCACATCTGCAAATGAAAGTTTTGCCACCCGGCTCTGTTCCTTCAACATGGTGATTATACTGACAGCAAGCTTAGCTGTTTTCAGAACTGGTTCATACCAAGGAGCATATTGTTTAGAAGGTTTTCCAAGCCTATACCTGAAAGAAGCTAAGACACTTAGCTATCTAAGGGAGGAGAAAACAACATGGTGAAATTTCCTAAGTGACAATAAGATAATGGGATAATAAATAATAAGCCATGACACACTTATGACTAAAAACAAAAGGAAAAGGCTGAACCAGTTGACTAATCACCATGTAATCATCTGGAAGTACTATATATTGGACAGGAAGTGACATAACAGAAAAATATTATGATGCAAAGTCACAGTAAATAGACCTGAAAAGAACAATGATAGAATATAATATAAGCATGAAATTTTACATAAGGGCAATGATATACCAGGCCATATCAGTGCGAATAGATATAAAAACCATTGATGACCCAAACTCTATCATCCATTCCTTTATTGCACTCAAGTAAATTGGAATTCCATCAACTACAGATGGCCCAGAACCACTTGAAGAAGAATGGCCAGCATCGGTATCAAAATTGTAACCAGACCCATCATCAGCAGTCATCAATCCAGATCCAAAAATGGATACATCAATGTCTGCACACGGTTTCATTGGCAGGAGCTCTAATGAGATTAGCCTTGAATCGGAGTTGTATAGTGCCCAGTTATGAAGCATACTACGCGGCAGATCATCAATATAAAATGTATCAATGCCACTTTCAAATACTACATATTCATCTGTCTCTTCATAAGAAGTCTTGTAATAGGCAGGTAAAGGATAGTCATTTGCAATTTCATCCTCATTGATCTTTATGTAAAATTTATTTGATAAAGATGAGCTATGATTTTTCTTCTGCCTCATTGACCGCCAAGACTCTTCTTCCTGTAACACCCTTGCCAACTTCAGATCCTCTCCATTCTCTGTTGGGGATGAAGATGCACCAGATCGTTTTGTTGCATCTTCTTCATGAATTACTACTTCACCTATTCTTAAACTTCCTCCTGTGTTTATCTGATGTACTTGAGCAACATTTTCTTGCTTGCTTTTCTCATCTCTAAGCTCAGCAAGCACGGGAATCTCAACAAATAGCTGGTCAGTCTTCTTTGATGTGTCATCCAACCCTACAAGCTGATTGTAAATGAACTCGCCCTGAGAGACAATGAAATCTCTTATTGAGAAACCATCAGAGAAGACCCTCATAGTGCTCATAGATCGGACAACACCAGCAATTAATTCATCCAGACTTAAGTCTGGATTTCCACCCGATAACTTTGACAATTTTTTATAAACCTCAATGCAAGCAGTAGCCTTGGCCAAGAAAAGATCATAATATTTTTTATAACTACCCGAGGGTTTGACACAATCATAGTCAGCTTCATCCGTTGATACCCATATAACTGGGGATCCATCTTCATATCCAGAGATAGCCCATTCTTCGATACGACCAAATCCTTTACATCTGATTCCTTTAGCTTTTTCTTTATCCCTTGTGTCCTCAAGTGGCAAAATTAGACCAGATATAAAGAGGTCATCAACTTCCAACATTTCAAAAGGTTGTGGAATTCCAGCCGCATTATGAAAAACAAATTCTGTAAGCCTTCTACATGGTCGACCATCATCTTTTCCTTCTGTCAATCGAATAGCCACAGCCTCCTCCTCAATGCATTGATCCTTCTTTACTTCTATGATGGAAGACTTTTCACATATTTTTACATTTTTCTCTTTAAAACTAGAACAAGCAGCAGCACGTTTTGGCATTTTGCGGACACCTGTGGGTTCCTCTGCATTTTGCATTATTTTACGCTTTTTCCCCGTAGAGTTAGTTGCTGCTGCCTTCTTAGACGCTGGATCTAGTTTGTTTTGTTTCTTCTTGGCTCCTACTTGACAAAAGAACAAAATAGTTAGAAAAATAAAATTTTTAAAAGATCTGTTGACAACGGGAACGAATTTAGGATAAATGTCCCAAACATTTTGACAAATTAGAAGCAGTTACTGAGATGAAGAAATGCTGCTGCACAAAAAAGGATGCAATATGAGGTCAAGAAGAACCACAAAGTCTTCTTTAGGGGCGAATAGTCACTAAGAATGCTCATTTTGGTGACAATAACTGGATAAAATTAAAAAGGTCAGGTGTTAAGGGCAGTTGTAACATGACCAGAGAACACCTTGTATGATAAAGAAAATGATAATCGTTTTCAGCAAAACAGTGAAACAACTGAGAACAAGTGCATGTCAACACTACTCAAAGCATATGTATATTGCAGTACTATAAAGTTATACCAAGGCAGGGATGTTTTTTTTAAAAAAAGTTGTAACTGAAAGAAGGCATAGTTAGGAAGTGAGTTGATAATGGACATCACACAATACAATATACTATACATTCACAAAAACTTTAAAAGGGGGTATAGTGTTCAAATAACTCATCTATTCTTGAAAGAGATGCAAAAAATTATCTATTTTCTGCCAATAGCATCAGGAAGGACAAGAATGTCGGAAGAAAAACATACAGATTGTTAGTACTTTGACAAGCAAAAAATCTACATCCAAAAAGGGATAATTACATACTTAAATATTGGAAATTGGGGAGGAAGGGGGGGAGAATAGGTGGTAATTACAAACTACACATACATTTACACTAAGTGGTACTTTGACTTTTTTTGGAGTATTCCACATCGGGAAATTGAGAAGAAAATAATAGGAATATAAGCTATTGACTTGAACTAGGTAATCGGTTATATTCAATCTTTTAATTTGGTTCAACTCAAGTGTCTTATGACCCAGTCCAGTGATCTCTACTCCCCCCAAAGTCTATCATGGCATCAAAACAAGTTTTGGCCCACCTCATTTATCAAGGTGTTCATGTAGAAGTTCATTCCTTGCGACCCGTGAGTCTTTAGCCCAGTTTGTATGGAGAAAATACCAAACGGCATATGGCTTATTCAACCAGATTGTTCGTCTAGAAGTCTATATCGAGCGACTCATGGTCCTTTACGTGTTGCCGCTACATTCACAAATATTTGTTTGAGAGAACAAGAATCCATTTGCAAATGGTCAACCGGTTAGATTCAAAATGATCTAATTGCCACTTGTGGGGGAGTGTTGTAGTATCCCACATCGGGAGATTAAAAAGAAATAATAGGTATATAAGCTCTTGAATTGCCTAAGTAATCATTTGGATTCAATTTTTAATATGGTTCAACTCAAATGTCTTAAGGCCCAGTCCAGTGACAAGTGATCCCTACCCATCCTAAATTCTATCATTTTTGAAGTTGTTCAATAAACTTTGACAAACAAACTTTCCAGCCATACTAAGGATCCGAGTATTGAGCACATATGTACTGTCCATAATCCAGATAACTAGTCATTGAAAAAAAAGCTCAGGATATTTCAGATCCTATACATTTAGTATTCATAGAGGAGTTGTAGACTGTTAGTAGTAATAGTTGTAATGCAGCTCACGTGTCATTAATTACATGTTTACACAATTACACATGCCTACGAAATATGGTTATGTTCAAGGAAACACATGCCTATGAAATATGGTTATGCTCAGCATGTATGCAGAATGTCTTACCGTTTCAACTCCCTTCATCCCACTATATATGTCCCATTTTTTCATCTAATTCTATCCCAAAATATATGTGTTATATGGAGCAGTAAATGTTTTTCATATTTGTGTGAGTTCAAAATCGTCCATGCTTTACATATTAAATATCAAACACACAATTCCACTTTTCTTTCATTCAGACACAATCTTACATGTCCCAAACTTAATGGGAAAGGGGTAGTATGAGTTCCTACGCAATTAATTCAAACAAACCAATTCTGCAAGTCTTGGAACAAACTTATAAAGGTTATATGTTTTCCAAGACCATAATGCATCTTACATCTTTAGAGGCAGAATCAAGTTTACGAAACTTTTAGCACCCAAAATATATACTCTTAAAGATGTAATTTCATTTCTCTCTATGGCTTTTTCACAATGGCCACTCAGACAAAACCAGAAGATATAATAAAGTAAAAAAGATAACAAATTTAAAAAAAATAACTGTTGTTCTGAATCGAGTCAACAATGAAACAACCCAGCCACTAAATGGACACTCGAAAAAGTGCATACCTTTTATTTTATTCATTGCAACACAAGATAAAAACCAGCACATTTGACCTTAAAATGAATTCTAGACACTCAGATACCACAAATAAACCATCCAATCCACAATACCCTAGACTCGCCACCAACATATAAATAAGACAAAAAATATCTCTGAATGACTCACAAGAACCCTAAAATTTAATGAATCAGCTAAAATGCAAATCCAAACGGAATGCATCACATGCATCCATAAAAATGAATAGGTATACTAATGCGTCATAGAATTTCAAAAAGGAAAAAGAGAAAAAAAACACAAATTACCGCCTTACCGGCATCATCGGCAGTCGGATTTTCTAAATGCTTAGCAGATCCCATTTCCAGTTATACCGCCCAAACGCGGAGGTAGCAAAGCTTAGATATCTCACTGATCTTCTTCGTTTCCCTCCTCTTTGAGTTTGAGGGATCCAGTCGTGTTTTAGAGACTATGAGTGCAGAAATGGGCTGAGGTTATATAGAATTATAGATATATACTCCATATAATACTCCGTTTTTGCCGCCAAAATGCTGGGAAAGTTCGAATTTTAATTTTTAATTCGCTCATGGACCAAATGTGAAAATTTAGGCCAACACATCAATTTTGTATTTGTGTTCGATATTTTGCTCGAATTTTTAAGAGAAAATTTTGCTTGATGTATTAGAAGGGAGGGCGCTCAACAAATTTAAATCCTAAGGAAACGGGAAAGGGAATGATTACCCCTGAATTACTTTGTTTGTTTGGTCCAGTACAGGAAAGTGAATAGAATTCTCTTTGTTCGTGTCTGGTTCAAAACAGGGGAATCAAATTTTTTTACACACCTATAATCAATTTGTTAAAAATAATACTTATTTATTTTATCAAAGATACAATTAAACAAAATTCACACATCACAACATACTTTCAAGATGATTCGTTCATTTCAAAAAAAACATTACCCGTCTAAAACTTCAAAAACATAACAAAAAGTTACAAATTTTTAGAGTCTACGAGATCTAGTTCTCCGAGTGTTGAACATGTTCTGAGCCAATGTATTTCTGAAATTATTCCACGGATCTGATGTATCAATTGAGGTTATGTACTCGACTTCATCCTCGCATTCTCCATCATCACTATCTCCATCATCACTATCTTCATCATCATGTTCAAATATCTCTTCATCATCAGTAGGTCGAGATGGCATGTATCTTGTAATCAAGTTATGTAATAAAGCACAAGCCAAGACAATGTGACTACGTGTTTGTAGGTTAAACCAAGTAGGGCTTCTAAGAATACCCCAACACCCTTTTAGTAACCCAAAACATCGTTCTATCACATTTCTAGCCGATGCATGCTTTAAGTTGAAGTACTCTTCCGCGCTTTGTGGATGATGGGTAACATTGTTCCACTCTCTAATATGGTAAATATGTACTCTATATGGCGTAAGGAACCCTTCTCCATTAGCGTAGCCAGCATCACATAGATAGTAATAACCTTAACACAAAAAAAATATTAGGTTTAGATACATTATTTAAGGATCCCTAGAACAAATAACATGTTTACTTGTGAGGTTACCTCTTGGGACTTTAAAACCATTAGGCCTAGATAAGGAATCAGAAAGAACTCGACCATCGTGGGCTGATCCTTCCCAACCAAGCAACACATAGATAAATTTCATATTTGGTGAGCAAACTCCTAAAACATTCATCGTAGTGACTCCTTTCCTTGTTCGAAATTTTGATCAGTCTGCTGCTGGGGCATTCACACTAATCATTGTACCGTCAAGTGCACCTAAGCAATTCTACAAAACACATATATCACAATTAGACTCTAAAACAACTTTCATCATTGCAGTTTTCCGTTATTGGAGAAGGCTTCTTAAGAAGCACAAAATGCAACTTTAAAACTGCCTTTAGACATGCATGAAATTGTCTACTTATAGTTTCACCACTTCTATAAAAATATCCCCCAATCGTTCTATTCTTCTTATGGTGCGCCAATGTGTATAAAACACTTGTTAAAATCTCTTCCACGCACATATTCTTTGATTGAGTCAACCCACCTATATCTCTTACCATCTCACATAAAACGACAAACGTTTGTCGGTTCATCCGAAGAAAATTTCTGCACACTACATCATCATCCCTAATGATTCTATTCAAGTTACGCATTCTCATTTCTCTTCTAGAGTTTTTATCTTCTTGAATCGCTTGAGATGGACACTAAGTTTTACTCAGTGAATACCACATCATACAACATAAAACCACACAGTTAATCATCAAGAACAAGAAGTTATGAAACTTCAATTTTCTTTGACTCCTCTTTCTTAAAGAGAGACCATATCGACCCATTCCTGTTCAAATTGTTTTAAAAAAACTTTCAGAATTGAGGAAGATCATCATCATCATTGGGGTTGTTTAGGTTGTTTTTGGCAACATTTTTTTTTGCAACAAAACTTGAGAGGTTTCAATTGAATTCTAAAAATTTTGCAAAAAAATTTGTAAAAATTTTTTAAAAAATCTGTAAAAAAAAATTGTAAAACATTTTGTAAAAAATCTGTAAAAAAATTTGTAAATTTTTTTTTAAAAATCTATAAAAAAAATATGTAAAAAAATATGTAAAATATTTGTAAAAAATTTTGTTTAAAAAACACATAAAATGCAGGGAGAGGGG